TTTCACTCATTCTGAAATGGAATTATCACTGAATTCCATTACGCCTCCATTGTTTTGGTTACAGTTAGTAACACTCTCATGAGAGTGCTGAACTGGGTATGGTTGAGGCCAAAGAAGTTAGAGAGATACCTGAGACGCAAGGTCTCTCTGGAAAACCTACAGGCTTCTGTATGGAGACATGACGGAGGCCTCAATGATGCTAAAGCAAGCAAAATCCAGATCCTTCAATGTCTCTGATGACATTACTCCACGTCTTGTTCCGTTCCTCCGTAAAATGGTAAAGGATTAGGTATGTCAAGCCCCAATCTTCTTATAAACTTTAATAATTTTTTCGTGCATATCTGCAATTCTTGGAGACTTCTTCCATATTTCTTATGGCGTTAACTTAATGTGAGACTGATGATCTCTATCTTCTTCTAACATTGTACGTTTTGTCAAAAATGCAGGTAAAATTCTTTTGTATGGGTTGGTCCAGTACCCAGGGTGACCATCATGAATCCTGAACAACTAAAAGAAATATTTTCCAGACTTAAGATTTTCATAACCTCGGCCAAACCCACTTTTAGTATCTTGCAAGTGGACTTGCAGTGTATGAGGGAAGAAGTGGACTAAACATAGAAGGATTATCAACCCAGCATTCCATCTCGATAGTTGAAGGTCAATAATTCATTTATTTTTTCCATTTACTAATATGTATTGTAAACTTGTATGTGACATTTTTTTTTATCTTAGATACATGCCTAATGTTATAATGACAATTAATTTTGATTTCATAACTTGGTACAGCTTATGTTACCTGAATTCTATCAAGTTTTGTAGTGAGATGATTAGCAAATGGGAGAAGTTGGTCTCTGTAGAAGGATCATGTGAATTGGATGTATGGCCCTATCTTGTTAATTTGACAGGTGATGTGATTTCTAAAACAGCATTTGGAAGCAATTTTGAAGAAGGAAGAAAGATATTCCAACTCCTCACAGAATTAGGTTATATTTCACAAGATGTTCTACGATCCGTTTACATTCCCGGATGGAGGTAAAACAATATCTAATGTTGAAACTAGAATATTATTTCAATAATATCTTAATTTACTTTTATTGCTTAAATATATGTAGGTTTTTACCTACAAAGAGGAATAAGAGATTAAAAGAGATGGACGTTGAAATACGCGCCTTACTTATGAGTATCATTAAGAATAGAGAGAAAGAGAAGAAAAGAGGTGAAGCTACAAAGAATGACTTACTTGGTATACTCATGGAATCCAATTTTAGAGAAACTGAAGAGCATGGAAACAACAAAAATGTTGGAATGACTATAGATGAAGTGATTGAAGAGTGTAAGCTGTTTTACTTTGCTGGTCAAGAGACTACCTCAGTTTTGCTCGTCTGGACTTTGGTTTTATTGAGTAAGCATCAAGATTGGCAAGCTCGTGCAAGAGAAGAGGTTTTCCAAGTATTTCGTGATAAGAAGCCTAGCTATGATGAATTGAATCACTTGAAAGTTGTAAGTGTCATAATATATAGTACAAAAATTCTCTCTTTTGTTCTTTCGAATTCGATTTTTAATATATTAACTTTAATTTTGGTTGCTCAGGTCTTAATGATACTATATGAGGTGCTCAGGTTGTACCCTCCAATAGTTACTCTTGATCGAGTTGTTGACGAAGAGATAAAACTTGGAGACTTGTCTCTGCCTGCTGGAATTGAGCTCAGAACGCCAATTATCCTGGTTCACCATGATCAAGAACTTTGGGGGGATGACGCTGAGGAGTTTAAACCGGAGAGGTTTTCTGAAGGAATTTCAAAAGCCACGAAGAGTCAAGCCGTTTCGTTCTTCCCTTTTGGATGGGGTCCTAGAGTATGCATTGGACAAAACTTTGCTCTTATGGAGGCAAAAATGGCTTTGGCTTTAATTTTGCAAAACTTCGCATTTGAGTTATCTTCATCTTATGTTCATGCTCCTGATATGGTTATTACTGTTCATCCGGAACATGGTGCCCACTTGATTTTGAAGAAACTATAGTGTGAAACTGTCAATTGTAGACTAATAAAATAGGCATTAAACTGTTAAACATTAGTGTGATTCTGTTGGTATGAAAAATAAGCTATAATTGTGTTTGTTAGAGATATTTGAATAAAGGGTAACACTTACTTTATTTATTTAATTATGGCTCCTCAATTATTTTGTTTTAGAACAATATATATATTTTTTTAGTAATACAATACATACAAAAGCATGGTGAACAACGACCATCGGCAAGGTGATCTCCACTCCAGCCGGAAACGACAAGTTTCCAAGCTTTGTTTCTCGGATAACAGCTCTAGACAATATCATGCATGGACACCTGAGCATTGAAAAGTATTCTGTAAAATCAAATTTTTAAAAACAAAAGAAAGACATCGAAAGTCAAATCGTTAATATCATTAGAAGTATAAGCAAAGAAAATGAATACATTGACCTTCAATTTGTCAAGATGGAATGCTGGGTTGATAATCCTTGTATGTCCTCATGGTTTGCAAGTGTTTTTGCCAACAACTGGGAAAGGGCCAAAGTGGATTTTTGGAAACATTGATCCTGGTAATTTGATCAGGATCCATTATATTCACCCAGGGTTCTGGGCCAAACCACATAAAACAATTATTGCGCGCATTAAAGTTAGCAAACATAATCAATTAGTACAAACCTGTAAAGAAGTTGTATCAGAGGGGCAGGTCGGGGATGAGGTGGAAGGGTAACCACGTTGATGGTTGCCCCGCATCCTCGCGCCAGATGGATAGTATGCCCATGTTGACTGTTGACATTGCCACGCGGATTCTCTGGGCCACATGGATATGCCGCACCTGGCATTGGGCATCTACGTGTATGCATATATGACATATACGTGGATTGAAATGTGAGTTGAAACTGCCACGTGGAGGGTACCATATTGTACCTAGCTGCCTATGTGGGCTAGCCACGTAAATTGTTGGCATCTACTTGGAAGGGCCACGTGGACCAGCCACATGGAGGGTGTCAGGTTGTATTTGGCTTCCTACATGGACAAGCCATGTGGTGTATTCGTGCCTCGTGGATGAATGAAATGTCATCAGAGAGACTGAGGGGGTTTGGATTTAGCTTCTTTTAACATCATGGCGTAGCTTTCTCCAGCTTCTTCGGCCTAAACCAGACCCCGTTCAGAGCACTCCAGGCCCATGTTACTACTGCAACCAAAACTATGGAGACTGAGATTGATTTCAGGTCATACAATTCCATTTCAAGGCAGTAAAATTTAGCTAGAAGATCGAGCTAACAATACTAATAAATTTATACTAGAAACGAGAATTATGNAGTTTCCAAGCTTTGTTTCTCGGATAACAGCCCTAGACAATATCATGCATGGACACCTGTGCATTGAAAAGTATTCTGTAAAATCAAATTTTTAAAAACAAAAGAAAGACATCGAAAGTCAAATCGTTAATATCATTAGAAGTATAAGCAAAGAAAATGAATACATTGACCTTCAATTTGTGAAGATGGAATGCTGGGTTGATAATCCTTGTATGTCCTCATGGTTTGCAAGTGTTTTTGCCAACAACTGGGAAAGGGCCAAAGTGGATTTTTGGAAACATTGATCCTGGTAATTTGATCAGGATCCATTATATTCACCCAGGGTTCTGGGCCAAACCACATAAAACAATTATTGCGCGCATTAAAGTTAGCAAACATAATCAATTAGTACAAACCTGTAAAGAAGTTGTATCAGAGGGGCAGGTCGGGGATGAGGTGGAAGGGTAACCACGTTGATGGTTGCCCCGCATCCTCGCGCCAGATGGATAGTATGCCCATGTTGACTGTTGACATTGCCACGCGGATTCTCTGGGCCACATGGATATGCCGCACCTGGCATTGGGCATCTACGTGTATGCATATATGACATATACGTGGATTGAAATGTGAGTTGAAACTGCCACGTGGAGGGTACCATATTGTACCTAGCTGCCTATGTGGGCTAGCCACGTAAATTGTTGGCATCTACTTGGAAGGGCCACGTGGACCAGCCACATGGAGGGTGTCAGGTTGTATTTGGCTTCCTACATGGACAAGCCATGTGGTGTATTCGTGCCTCGTGGATGAATGAAATGTCATCAGAGAGACTGAGGGGGTTTGGATTTAGCTTCTTTTAACATCATGGCGTAGCTTTCTCCAGCTTCTTCGGCCTAAACCAGACCCCGTTCAGAGCATTCCAGGCCCATGTTACTACTGCAACCAAAACTATGGAGACTGAGATTGATTTCAGGTCATACAATTCCATTTCAAGGCAGTAAAATTTAGCTAGAAGATCGAGCTAACAATACTAATAAATTTATACTAGAAACGAGAATTATGACTGAGAAAGACATGTTTGTTGGGCAGATAAAATGAATTTAAAAGTCATTTTGGACTATACTATATAGAATTACATCATTTTAACATTTCGGATCGTTTTTACTATCTACTTACAATTTTTATGCAGATAGCGTGTGGTCCAACCGACCTTGTTCATCATGTGACACTGACCAAAATAAAAAAGAGTGATTGGGGGTTGAAGTGCCGGCTATAGTTTGAACCGTTTGGAAGAAAAATTAAGAGAGAATGTAAAGTAAGCTGAAACAAACAAGTTGTAACTGATTTTCAAAGTTGAGGCTGCATCACACTGATTGATATCATCAACACCACCTGAAAATCAGCTATTTGGAATTCTGAAGCAGCATAATTTTCTTTAAGTTGTTTTATGGATTAATTTTATGGGACTCGGATGGTTTATGTATTAGATTAGGTTGAACAGGAATGAACTATTAGTTGTGTCAGATGTTATTCCTCTGTTTAGAGCAGAGAATTCTTAAACACTTTCACTCTCATTTCCTTGTATACTGTGTGTATGAATCGAAGCTGAAATTACTGCAAACAATAACAAACAGTTTATATATTCATGGTTTGTAAGTCAGCATAATTTTGTCTTCGACACTTGCTTGGAGTCTCAAATGTATGCACACTGTAGGCTGAATTAAAGTTATACTATATATTTTTGGTACAGAGTATCATATATAATGTTCTAAGAGTTCAGCCAATCTTATTTAACAATAATTGACAGTTTTCGCTCTATAGTTTCTTCAAAATCAAATGGGCACCGTGTTCTGGATGCACAGTAAAAATCTTACGAGGAGCATGAACATAGGATGGAGATAACTCGAATGTAAAGTTTTTCAGAATCAACGCCAAAGCCATTTTTGCCTCCATCAGAGCAAAATTTTGTCCAATGCATATCCGAGGACCCCATCCGAACGGGAAATATGAAACTTGGTTCTTTGTCGCCTTAGAAATACCTTCCAAAAACCTCTCTGGTTTAAACTCCAATGCATCATCACCCCAAAGTTCCTGATCATGGTGAACAAGGACAATCGGCAATGTTATCTCCACGCCAGCCGGTAATGACAAGTTTCCAAGCTTTGTTTCTCGGTCAATAGCTCTAGGAGCCATAACTACTGACGGATATAGCCTTAGTACCTCATACAATATCATCGACACCTGAACATTGAAAATTATTAGGTAAAATCAATTTCTTCAAAACAAAAGAAAGAGAATTTTCCGACACTATGTTGCGGGTACTTACAATTTTCAAGTGATTCAACTCATCATAGTTAGGCTTGTTATGGCCAAAGACTCGCAAAACCTCTTCCCTTGCACCAGCTTGCCAATTTTGATGCTTACTCAATAAAACCAAAGTCCAAACGAGCAAAACTGAGGTGGTCTCTTGCCCGGCAAAGTAAAATAGTTTGCACTCTTCAATCACATCATTGATAGTCATTCCAACATTTTTGTTGTTTCCATTTTCTCTGATTTCTGTAATATTGGATTCCATAAGTATGCCTAATAAATCATTCTTTGTAGCTTCACCTGCTTTCATTGCCTTCTCTCTGTTCTTGATAATACCCATCAGTAAAGCGCGTATTTCCTTCTCCAATTCCTTCATTCTCTTGTTACTCTCACTAGGCAAAAACCTATATGAGAGGAAAAAAATAAAACAAAATAAAATTTTATCACTCAGTGACAAACACATCAGAGGATTATAGAATTTTACATTCCCAACATCAAACCTGGATCCTGGAATGTAAGCAGACTGAATAGCTTGTAATGTGAGATCAGCTAATTCTGTTTGGAGTTGGAAAATCCTCCTTCCTTCTTCAAAATTGCTTCCAAATGCTGTTCGAGAAATCACATCACCAGTCAATTTTACAAGATAGGGCCATACATCCAATTCACATGATCCTTCTTTAGACGCCAACTTCTCCCATTTGCAAATCATCTCACTGCATACTTTGTAGAATTCTGGTAACATCAGCTGTAACAATCATACATCGAGAGTCAAATTGTCAATATCATTAGAAATATGAGAAAATTAAAAAAATAATAATAAAAAGTTGACCTTCAACTTGTCAAGATGGAATGCTGGGTTGATAATCCTTCTATGTTTAGTCCACTTCTCACCACCATAGTTTGCAAGTCCAGTTGCCAGCAACTTGGAAATAGGGTTTATGGCCTTCGGTTTCGGAAATTCATTGATCCTGGTAAATATTTCTTTGATTTGATCAGGATCCATGATGGTCACTCTGGGTACTGGACCAAACCACATAAAAGAATTCTGGCCTGCATTTTAGTTAACAAACATGATCAATTACGATAGTCTCATAATTAAGATCTCAAATATGGAAAACAATCTCTCCTACTTATAATTATAATAATTACTTTGTCCATTGAAAACAATAAATTCTGTTTGCAGTAAAGAAACTTGGTAAATTTCATCATCATCTATCATTTGAAAAGAAAAAAAAAAAAAAAACTCTACTTAATTATGTGGTACAATTGCTTGACAGCAATCCAATTTAATTTCAAAATTACACATTTTTTTTTCTGAAGGCAACTGTGTTGCCGGTGCTCCCCCTACGAACATTGCTCGGATCATTTTTAAAGATAGTTGTGAAATTCCTGCCTATCATTTCACTTAATACTGTTCTTAATTTCTTGATGTTTCACCTCTTGGTTGACTTATTTTTTCTCTTGATTAATTGCGCTGAGTCTTGATTCTTAATGAGATTTACCTATAGATAAGGCTCCCTTATCTAGAGCTTCCTTAAAAAGTAATTAAAAGGAGAAAAAAGAAAAGTTTAGTGCTCAGCATCTCACTCACACATCTTGGAATTTGCAGACATGAAAGGAAGTTATATGAAAAGGGGATTGATTACATACCATAATCTTTGACCAATTTATGCAGGAATGGAAGAACGACTGGTGAAATGTCATCTGAGATACTGAGGGGTTTGGATTTAGCTTCTTTTAACATCATGGCGTTCTCTTTAATGTCTCCATACATAAACCTGTAAGGTCTGCCTTTAAGACCTTGTTGTCTCAGATACCTCTCCAGCTTCTTTGGCCTAAACCAGACCTCGTTCAGCACACTCCATGCCCATGTTACAACTGTAACCAAAACTATGGAGACTGCAATCGATTTCAGATCATAAAATTCCATTTCATGACAGTGAAACAGAGCTAAGTTTGTGTTGAGAATGAAATTTTGCTACAAGAGCAAGGGATCATTGATTAATTTATAGTTGAAAGAAGAGTCGTCTCTCGTGGCTGAGAAAGTGATGTTTTTTGACTTCTGTCTATCTAAATTTTTGGGCAGATAAAATGAATTTAATATTCATTTTGGAGGTATACGGGAATTATATCATTTTAATATTTCGGATCTTTGAATTATCTGCAGATAATGCAGATGGTGTGTGGTCCAAGCCCAACCGACCTTCCGGAGGTTCATGTGACACCGACTTAATACGATAATCCTATTATTGCAAACTCTTAATTTTGTAGAAATTAATGCGATATATAATAAAGTATGTCATATAATTCTGAGACCCACATAACTTAATATCATATTAATGTTATGTAAACTCTCCTATTATGTGATACTTATATGATATATTATGTTAGTTTGTACAAACTCTCCTTATACTAAAAGTTTACAAATATCTTTACCCAACTTAATAATTGTCCATACAATTTTTTGTTCCTCTATATATATATATGGACTGATGCATTGAAAACAAATATATATGACATTTTAGTTTACACTAGGGTAAACTAAAATGTGCAACTTTTATACCCCAATCCAAACCAAACCAATTAGCAACAAATTCAACAATTTTATTGAGTTGTAGATAAAGATGCCATAGCATTTCAAATCACTTGGATTTTAAGAGTCATGGGAAGCTAAGAGACATGAATCAGAGCCAAAGATTGATCCGGAATAGATTCAGTTAAGGGGTTAATCGAGAAGCACTTACTAAATTTTTGTAATAATTAGGGCCTATTTATTTAACTATTTTTGCACTATCCTATTCCTATCCAACCCAAAATACACGCTTGTTTCTCTATTCTGAAAATCATATTATATTTTATTCAATTATTTTAAACTCTCTAAGTTTAATAATTTAATTAAACACCCAAAAAAAAGTTTAGAAATTTAAGAAAAAAAACCCCCACCCACCCACATTTGTCATATTCAGGCCACCACCGTTGAAAGATGGTCGGAATCTGGTATAATGGCGCACAACCGACTAGATTTGGCCAGTAGTGTGCCGATTTAGCATTTTCCGGCCAAATCCACCGTAGATCTAGTCAAAAAAGGCCAAATTTACGGCCAAAGATTTGGTCGTTGACAGCCACATCTTTGGCCGTAGCTGGTCATCAACAATGACCATACCTTTGGTCGTCGTCAAGTGGCCAGATCTGGCCATAGATTTGGCCTGTTTCGACCAGATCCACTGTGGATCTGGCCAGAATCGGCACACAAATGACTACATCCCATCGGTCATGCACCGATACGGCGACTCTGGCCACCCTCAAGTGGTGGTGGCCAATTGCTAGCATTTAATGGGTGAATAGGGGTGTTTTTGTTAATTTTTAATGTTTTATTGCAGGGGTGTTTAGTTAAATTAACAAACCTATGGGGTGTTTTTGTTAATTTATAAATCCTACCTCGTAATAACCACTCAACTCTTACTTTTTCAAAAATCCTATCTAAAATAATAAAACAAACAGACCCTAAGCTTCCATTTAAGGATATTTGAGGGTGTTAGTAACTTTCCCTTCAATGAGATGAAAACAATTAATTCCTTTTCTAGAAAACAAGACTAAAAAGAGGGATTGGCAATTGAAGTGCCTACTAAAGTTGTGCTTGTGCACTAATTTAAATAACTCAATGCAACTTTGCTCTCCTTCATTTATTATTGTTGATGCAAAATTTACACTAACCAGAGTGATCTGATTGACCTTGGTGGAATCAGAACAAGTGTGTGTATGATTAAAGGTAACCAGCAATTGAATATAAAAAAAAAAAATGCATAATAATGTAGAGAGCACAAAGGATTTTTAAAGTAGTTTGGCAAGTTTAGATCTTGAGCCTACATCCACTTTTTTTCTTATTTGCTTAAAGAGCTAACAAGAAAATAGTATAATTCTTAGAATAATTTGCTAACCCGTTTTCCATCATTGGAATGGGTTTATATACAAGTTTTTTACAAAAGAAAGAGCGAAATTAAAGGAATTACAATTAAGATTGAAATGCAATTCTGATATTCTCGCAATTGAGCGCTAAGATCGCATCATTATTGCTGTTGATCTGATCCCTTCCAAAATATCCGGGATCTGAGCTTATTTGTGATATTCTTGAACAACTACCGAGATTGGTGACCACTAGCTTATGCTAGGTGTAGTTATTTCTCGACGAGCTTACGCCGGGTTGCACAATTGTTTGAGCCGAACTGATTTTGGGTCGTACTATAACCTCATAGAACTCTGACTTCTTCGAGCTTGATGGAAAAATCACACACAACATCTGCCTATAGTGTTTCGAGCTTCGAAGACTAATTGCTCGATTTCATGCCAAGCTTGAACTTTATAGGTTGTGTGTTAAATGCATATTTTGTCAAGCTTCCTGAGTCGAACTTCATTTTTGTCGAGTTGAACAAGACTTGGTCTTTTCTTTGTTGTGACATTCTCGATAAACTTGGAATTTGAATCGAGGGGCATGCGAGTAATTTTTACACAGTCATGTAGCATTAAATGCAGTTATTTTTCGTCAACCATGGGCATTTATAGTTGTCCACGCTCAAAATTGAGGCGACATATGATGACGGTTATGATTGTAGTACTCTAAAGGTTGATTGTCCCTTGTGGATGATCGACACGTGGCCACGTAGAACGATCAAGATTGCTAGACGAAGGGGGGCTGAGATTTGTTGTAGATCAACGGTTATGGTCGAATCCGGCCTCTTCGTCTCCCATGCACACTATTATAAAAGCAGACATTCTTCATCAGAACATACACTTGAAATATTTTCAGAGCTTTATTTGTTGTTTTTGCTCCGTCATTGTTCTCTCAATTTCACGATGAACTCCCACCACTTCTACGCTCCGACTCCAATAAGGCTCTTTTCTCCTCTCTTACTTTAAAATTCTTTTTCGTTGAGGGTGGCCATTGTTGTGGCCACATTATCATTTTTTTTTGGGTTTTTGAGTATTTCCGTCGGTTTTGGGTTTTAGAAAGGTTTAAGGAGGTGGCTGCCAAAATTCTGGTAGCTTGCTTGCATCTATAGATCGATGCGAGCTACCCTGGGTGCCTAAACTGAAAGCAAAGTGTGGATTGATCATTGAATTTTCAAGCTCTAACACTTGGTCGCTTTCATTTCAGGTACCCAGAGGTGAACTTCCATCATGTCTTCTTCCAGCACTTATAGCTTAGATCGATTGTCCGATTCCCCTACGACCTCGGCTATTTGTGGAGAAGTAGTCTGAGAGGTTTCTAAGGATTTCATATTGAGGAGCTTGGACAGCAACGCTGCGAGCTCTTTAGATCATGCTTCCACGGAGACCCATCCACCAAATAAGTCTCTGGTACATAGGCCTCGAAAGGAACCAAGTTCCTTGATTGGGGCCGAAGATATTAAACGCATAACAAATGTTTATACAACTCAACGTCCCTTGAGGGCTTCGAGAGAAATCTCAAGAAAAAATCCCCCGAAGGTTGGACCAATTTTAGATACCCTCTTGAGGTGTGGGATGTTTGTTCCCCCTCATTTTTTCATCACCAATGTCCTAAATAGGTTTGGCATTGCTTCCCTTCAATTAATGGGGAACTTATATATAATAATAGTAGGCATTTACATAGCGTACATGATAGCTAATCTGGGCGAGCCATTTGTAGAGGAGCTCGTCCACTTATATAGACTGAAGAAGAGTGAGGACCAAACGTACTATCTCTCAAAGGCAAGGAAAGTACATTGTAACGGTTTAGCCGAAGTCCCAAAGAAAATTCCAAACTGGGACTCAAAATATTTTTTCAATAAGTTTGGGGAGATCGGTACTTTCGCCTTAAAAGCTAGTAAGACTCCGCTCTTCATGTGACTAAAGAATATTTACTAGTTCAGCAAGCGAACTAACTTTATATTCCTTTTGTTTTGCAGTAAAGGTCGAGTAGAACTTCCTCCTTGAAGCGAGCTTAGAGTGGCTTCAGCTTCTTAGCAATCTCCCTAACAGTGAGCGTAACGTTATCCAGCTCATCACACTTTCTCGATTTAAAGCGTATACTTCTACGTCAACTAAGCCAAGTTTTGCATCATTTTTTAAAAAGGCAAGTGCTTGATAGCTCGTTGTTTTAATCTTGCTTCATTAGGTCGCTAACAACTTGTTTTCCTTTTCTTTGTAGATATGTGGGCCAAAAAACCAAACGGCTTGAAGAAAAAAGCACTAGCCCACAGAGCTACCAAAAAGGCGCCAATTTTCCTAATGAAGAAATAGCCCACAAACACTGCCAAGGCAGTTGAGCAAGGCTCCTCGCGCTTGTCCCTCAAGTACAAGAGTGGCAAACTTGGGGAAGGCCCAAGTGCAAAAAAGCCCGTGACTACTTCCAAGGCAATCGAGCAGAAGAGCGTTCCCGAGCCCCCAAAGGGCTCAACAAAGAAAATCTCTAAGCAAGCTAAAGGCTCAGGGAAGAAAAAAATGTTCGAGCAACAAGAGGGATATGGCAAGAAGAAGATGCTTAGGCAATAGGAGGGCTTAGGCAAGAAAAAGTTGACCAAGCAGCAGGGAAGCTCAAGAAAGCAAAAGATCACCGAGCATTAGGGAGGCTTGGGCAAGAAGGTCGTCGGACAAGCTGGTGGCCCAAAGGATACCTCGGCCAAAGGTTTCGCAAAAAAGAAGTCCATTCCAAGGAGTGAAGTCATTATCCTCATTGGAAGTTTGTCTAGCTCGCCTCTATGACGTGGCAAAGGGCAAGTAGATAAGGTAGCTTGGGCTACGCTCGACGTGAGAATTGACGGACTCATAAAACACATAGGTGTTGGGGCCTCAACAGCCAAGGAGGCCATCTCACCATAGACCTATGAGACGCTCAGAGACGCCCCTTATCACGAGCAGCTTGCTCACTCCTGCAATTATGTTACCAAGGTATTGATAGTTTGCCTTTCTTTCTTTACTCAAGGGTTTTCCCCTTTATTATTTTGTTAATTGCTTCTTTCTTTTCAGTCTTGCGTGGCGACCAAACTCCTCCTTGATGAGAG